ATAACGAAACTAATACTCACCTTACCACATGTTTCAAAAATATCAATATGTAATTAATTAAAATACTCACGATGAAAATACATTGTACCTCCTATACAAGATAAAGATGCTTTTTCTCTTTTTGTTCAGTGTTCAGTCATAATCACATGTATAAACGATACCATAAAATGTGGTAATAAATGTCGTGGTAATGATATAAAACTAATGAACCAATCCAAGGTATGTACATTTACTGATTTTGTAACATGCATATGAAATATATGAGAATTTAATGCATACCCATGGTATTAAAATAATTGGGATTTTTTGGCGTCACTATATCCTTCTTGTCCAGAAGTATTGTTTAGTGTTATTAAGATATACCATCATCACTATGCCTATCACTGTTTCTAAAATGCATCATTAATGGAATAGCACAATATGCCTAAAATTTCTGATGAAAATTGCGGTAACTACACATGTTTTTTAAAACATTCTTCTTAATTTTTCCATTTCTGACTCAAAATCAGAAGAGTTTAAAAAATAGACAAATTAAAATAATTATAGAAAAAAGACGTAACTTTTAAAGCATTATATTGCATTTATAAATAGCGCTTCAGATAATATTTTATCTCTCGTCGTCCAGTCCAACTGAAGAGTTTTGGTATTAAACGAAGGGCCACTTGGACAGTGAGTTTTGGGAGACAAAAAATAGGTATGAAATGTTTTCGGGTTTTAACTCATAACTTTGAATATAGCAGCAATGTTTGCAGTTGCTGTCAGACTAAAATGACGTATTATCTATTGTGTCTGCAGAAAACAATGAACCTACAATGAGTTTAAAAACATCAAATAACACAAAATGACCTAGAATAGTCCTTGAAGCGTCGAGATATAATCAAGTTTGCATCTATATAAATATAATAGTAGTGTCTGTTGTATGTCCATCTAACTACTTCGAGAGGTGTGGACGGATCTTCACCAAAATTGGTATGGAGGTTCATTAGGTCATGCGGAGTACATACAAATTTTCAGTTTTGCATTTTGCGTTTTGCGGTTTAATGGGTGTTTTTGCGTTTTTTACCACTACTTCGCCTCCTGTTGATGGATCTTCACCAAATTTAGCATGAAGGTTTGTTGGGTTCATGCGGAGATAATGCAGATTTTGCAGTTAATGTTTTGCAGTTTTTATGTGCGTTTTTGCGTGTTTTTTTACAATTCCATATAAGGGAAGCAACTTTTCATGACCTAAGATAACATTTCAATAGTCATGAATATACATAAGTTCCGTCCAAGGGACAGGTACTACAGCTAGTTATTAAATAAAGTGCTTAATTAATAGAACGTGATGTTTGCAAAAGTTACTCAAATACACCATCAAAAATATTATTGGTTTATGCAACGTTTGTTCGAATGCATTCTCGGGTAAGTGACGAAATCTCTTGTAGTTCTTGATTTGTGTTGTAACACTAATAAAATATTTTACTTTCTGTCAAAGTCATCAGTAGAGTTGTAACTATTCCAGAAATAGCCGATAGACTTTAACATAAAAAAGAAGACGATAACTACAGCGGTTGTTTAGAAAAATGTTTGAAATGCGTCGCGACACATATAACGACGTTTGCAATAATTGTCAATAAGTCAGTAGTTGCTTCAATGCTTCGAGTACTCGCTGAATCATTGATGTCTACTATATATTTACTGAAATACGTTTTTTCCATACAGAGATCCTAGGTAAAAATCTACCTTTTTCTTATACCCAACTTAGATAACACAGAACTACGCACATAGAAACAAGAAAACGTGAATGTATGTACACATAGAACATATAGCACGAAATAATTCCCTGTTTGTCGTTGGCTTGGCGGGTCGTAATGACCAGTAAACTACTTCACTGATGTGTTATGTGGAAAACAATGTATATATATATATGGTTTCTTTTCGCCTTTGTTGTTTATTTTCCAGCTCTTGGGCACTTTAATAGTCTTAAAGTTCTAATGTTGAAAACTTATACGTAAGTACACACACACACACACATATATATATATATATATATATATGCGTGTTTGTTTTGATTAAAATTCTGAGCTCAGGCGTCAAAACTCATGAAAGGTGACAAAAGAAAAAAGATGATTTGGGTTACATGTTCTAGAATTTTACTCGGTATTCCAATATTAAGCATAAGAAGCTCATTTTGGAACACAACAACGTAAATCTATTCTTAAACCAATATTTGACAAAATTCTGTGTATGTGTGAGTCCGGTTATAACTGGCGAACCGCTTGACCGATTGCCATCAAACCTTGTATGTACCCTTAGGGATCCCCCCTGGAGCGATGTGGGATTTTATTGGAGGTCTGACACTCTATGTCTTCCCCTTGCGCTAAACTAGTACAGTAGCAGGGTAATCATATTTAGTAGATGCTCCCTCGAGCTTAGCTATGTGACAACATCGATTACATATGAAATTTGCCAGTCTTTCGAAACTACCAAATTGTATTTCTTCCTATTTTAGCGATACAATCTCCCAAAGATGTCGTTGATTAGTTGGCTTCTCTTTTGCTATATTACATCTGTCGTATTCTGGTGGTTTGATGTTTATGTTTTATTGGGTATAAGAGCCGTTTTATTGGCTTTAGACTCCAGATATTTCCAAAATCTCATTTGAATCCTGCTTTTTTTTTGTCGTTGTTATTTTTCTTGCAGTAATAAATAGACTACATTACCTAAAATAGTTATTAAATGCAGCATTTTTAAAAATGATGGTGTCTGTAATAATTATATGCATGCAACATCAGACGAATCACGATCACTTCAGTAGTTTTTCAACTGTATCGCGAGGAGCTGATAATGTTTATGATCATTTTGAAACACTTCATCAGAGGATGGACATTTATATTGTTGTATCATGTTATGGTGAATAAAATTCAACCATCTTCATGTAGTTTCCAATGATGTTAAATAAATTAGTTCAGTTTACATATGTCTCACGTATATAGCAAAAACTCTTATTATCTTACTTCTCAAATGTTAGTAGTATAATAACGCTTGGAGACGGCTTGAATGGGTAATGAAGAAATAATTTAATATAAGTTTAACACAACAGCATTATTAATATCAAAGTGGGTTCCTCGTCATCGAATTAGTAGTATAATATATACAATAATTGTAAATGATAGCTTAGCAGATTTTCAAGAAATGCTGTATATTCATGTATATAGTTATTAAGTCACCACAGAGCTATTTCTTGATGTCATCGTCCTATAAGTTTCTCTTTACTCAGTTTAAAAACCATAATTATAAGGTTGCAGATATTTGTCCATATTACTTTCCTGGTATCCAGCAAATGTTTTAATATAATTTTTTTCTGTAATTTTACTGTGTCATTTGTCATCACAAAATAATACATTTTATATTAAATTGGTTATAAGTGTTTTACGTCATTCGTGAGTACGTATCACAGAAAACATTAACAATTAGTAATTAGTAAATAATTTTTCTAATATGATATTAAAATATTATACATATATATATATAAACCAATGATAAACCGACTTGTGACTTGCTAACCACAAACAGTGTTTATATTTTGTGAAAGATCCCTCCATATAAGACAGTGCTAGCGACATGTAAAGTATACATCAGAGGAAAAATACAGTTTCAATTTGTGTAGAAATGGTGTTTGTGGCAGTTTTGTGGATAAATGTTTAAATACAAAACAAAATAATGGAAAAGAATATTCAAGTTACAGAAAGAAAATTTCTGTGTGAGTTATAATGTACTCTCAACATATAAAAGCGTGTATGTTCTCCAGAATAAACTAATTTATCTTAAGGAGATACGTTTATTCAGCTTAGAATAAAATAAGAAAATATTTCTTTTTGAAATACTCAGAAAAGATTTACATACTTTTTTGCAGTTGAAGAAAAAGCCTGCTGCGACACGTCAGTTGCACATATGGCACATTTTTTGTAAAGCTTTATTTCGTAAATAAACAAGCATTCACATAAGCATTTTCAAATAACTATGAAAGCTGAATTTGATTGATAAAATCTTTAGAGCTCATTCTCGAAAGCTCTTCATGTAACATAGCAATTCAGACAGATGAATACACACACATGCTTAATAATATAGCATGGTCATTCTTTCACAAAGCGATTGGTACGTACAAAATGGGACTGAGCGTGGCGATTAAAGTGTCGGGCTGTGAATTCCAGAGTCTATGGCTCGCGTTCCGATGTTGCTGGCCCGGCATGGCCAGGTGGTTAGGGCGCTTGACTCGCAATCTGAGGTCGCGGGTTCGAATCCCCGTTCCACCAAACATGCTCGCCCTTTCAGCCATGAGGGCATTATAAAGTGACGGTCAGTCCCACTATTCGTTGGTAAAAGAGTAGCCCAAGAGTTGGCGATTGGGGGTGAAAACTAGGTGCCTTCCCTCTAGTCTTACACTGCTAAATTAGGAACGGCTAGCGCAGATAGCCCTCGTGTAGCTTTACGCAAAATTCAAAACAAACAAACCCGATTTGCAAAAACACCGCATAATGTTAGGCACACCTTGCCCTTGTGCAGCTTATCGCGAATATACGAAACAAACAACTCTAAATACGCAATATCAAGAGTTTATCTGTACCTATGTCATGTATAAATACGTCACCTTGTAAACACTGTTTTCACAAAGTAGCTTATTAAGATATAAAAATACTCGATATATTTCATCTTTTAACGATGTATGATTCGATTACTCTGTTATTGGGGAAAATAAGGTGTAAGTTTGTATAAATAAATAGATTACATACATTTATGTTAAGAAACAGGACACGCTATAAATATACAACACTTACTTTTTCACCAGCTTGTAAAATGTAACTTTCGTGAAATATTGTGCTTGAATGAAACTAATCAATATCTATGAATAATTAAACAGATAAATTCATCAGAAATTCAATCGATTGTACAATACCACGTGATAAAAAGAAATTATGAATTGTTCTCATCAATTGCCTGTCACTTTCTTATTCTAGAGGTGTCCCTTTATCAACTTTTATCCAATAATCATCTTCCTATTGAATTTTTGGACATCTAAAGAAGGAGTTCTTCCTGTCAGCCTTCACGATTAAATTAATGCGATTGGCATTGCGTTTCTGCTCGTTGTAGCATGCAGAATAATGCTTGTCACTTTTCACGCTCAACTTCTGTGGTGTTTGCTTCTTACGTTTGGTAAGTTTCTGTTTCATAATTTTGTACAGATTACTCCTGTTCTACAAAATTTGATTTGTTTTGCTTTACAAACTATAGAACATAAGGTGTATTTAACAGCTTATATGCCGTATTTTATAATGCGTTGTAGATGCCAGAATTATTAACATATTTACAATGAAATGTAAACAAATGATGCTAGTGAGATCTACAATAAACAAGCTTCATAAAGTTTGAATAATTATTGGCTCATCTATCTAAAAACTTGCTACAAAACCTTAATGTGAATAAAAAAATAAACTTATCACATTTAATTAACTTCTAATTGTACATGATCTCCGTGATAATTATATGGTACAGTTTAAAGAAAGGATGGTTTTGGTAGGAAATAAATGAAGCTCTCTCTCTCTCGGCGTTTCTGCAATATTTAGTTTAACCTGGCGTATTCAGTTGTTTAAATGATCGATGTATAACTCACTTACTTTAGTACACAATTCCAATAATATAGACACTTGCATATGAACTCTGCGTGGCATAAATCTGGCATTTCATTGTCTAACTAATGTCTATATAACTAACAGTGTATGATATATAACTGTCCTGTTTTGGACACCTCATTTTGTAGCTCAGTGGATATCAGATACACCACATTTAACACTGCAACTACATAATAAGCGTTCTTATGGTAAATTACTTTAATGCAATAGATACCTGAAAATTAAGCCCATTACATGTCAAAACACCCAGAATCATAACGGTGTATAGGTAACTACCAACTTATCATTCATGATTCTCATGCTATAAAAATCCAAATCTGTAGTTCTTTAGATATCACCTTACAAATAGCAACTATCAACTTATGATTCCTGACTCTTATGTTATAAACAACTCACTTTGTAGTCTTTCGGTATCACATAAACAATAATAACAACAGCTGATTAGTTTCGATTTTTATGTTATAATCATCTGAATACTTAGCTCCACAAAAATCTGGTTACCCATAATTTACAGTGTCACTTATCATAAATCTTATGTTATAGATATATAGAAATATAAAGTCCAGTTCATGTGAGATAGAAACAAATAGAGGTTTTACGGTGTATACTTAACTAACAGCCTATGATAGGTGACTCTCCCGATAACTTTGCTGGAATATTAAACCACAGAAAAAGTAAAGTAATGTATAGTATAAGCGTGATATAGACATTTCGAAAGGTTGCCATGTGGGTATCAGGTCAACCAGAAGTTGCACGCTGTATAGGTTGATTATTTACATTTTTTAATGTATGATTTTAATCATCTGCATTTGACCATGTAGTTCAAAAAATGTCCAGCAAATCTGATCGTGTCTTTGTCAATAGCATTTATACAGTGTAACATAACTCTCACGCTCTATACAGGTGACTATTTAAGCCCAATAGAAATCAGACAACCCACACTGTACGATGTCTTGTCTGTGACATATTATTCTTATGTTATAGTCTCCCTGTAGATGTCAAATAATAAGAGCTCATAAGTTAAAGTAATTAACATTTTAAGATTTTTGCATCTAATACTCCAGAACCTGATTTTATAAACTAGGTGATGTCAGGTAAACCAGAACTGATAATGTGTTTATTTATCTTTCTATGACAAATTGCTCTCATGCTATGGTCATCTAAATGTGAACTCTATAGATATTAAAAATCCCATAATTTACTTACCACAAATAACTAATGTCCTAAGAATTATGACCCCAATGGTGTAGATCCCTGAGTATGAAGCACACCAACTATCAACTTCAATTTATACCTTGAAGAAGTATTTTTATTCACATCAGAGTTTACATGAACATAATATTTTCAATATTTTGACGATGGTTCATTAGTTAATGTTTTTATATTTACCTTCTCGCAATGACGTTTATGAAATTTTACTTAAAAATTTGTTGTCTTGACCTTCTAACAAGCTTTTATCAAATAATACTTGCACAATTCAGTGACAGTATACTACGCACGATCTTGTGATAAAGATGTGGCCAAACCTCGTAACTTTTCAATATGTACTTACATATGTCCTGGTAAATTTTCAAAATGTTTACTTACTTAAGTTCTTTGGTTATAACAAAACATTTTCTTTAAAGTTCCTATTGTATCCAGCTTAACAATAGCCACCATGTATCTAACCGAACAATAGCCTCCGTATATTCAGCTGAACAATAGCTTCCGTATATCCAGCAGAATGAAAAACTCATGTATCCTGCTGAACACAATAGCCTCCAAATATCCAGCTGAACTATAGCCTCCGTATATCCAGCAGAATGAAAAACTCATGTATACTGCTGAACACAATGGCCTCCATATATCCAGCTGAACTATAGCCTCCGTATATCCAGCAGAATAAAAAAACTCATGTATGCTGCTGAACACAATAGCCTCCGTATATCCAGCTGAACAATAGCCTCCGTATATCCAGCTGAACAATAGCTTCCGTATATCCAGCTGAACAATAGCCTTCGCGTATGCAGCAAAAGAAAACCCCATGTATCCAACAGAATAATTGCACCGTTTTTACAACAGAACAATAACCCTATGAATCCAACTGAACAATAGCCTCGATGTATCCAGCTGAACAATAACCCCCTTGCATCCAGCTAAACAACGTCAGTATAGTATTAGACTGTCAAGAGGGAGCTCAGTCAACAGATCTTGTGTGTTAATTCACTGTTCATTCAGAATGAAGTACGTTTCTTATGAAAGTATGGACTCGCATCGAAAGTTTTGTATAAAGATATAAAATATTGATTGTACTTTGATATTTATGTCCAGTATTAACAACGTTTTAAGGACATAAATGTCATACTTGAATACAAACCATAGAGGGCAAATAATGTTTGTTTCGTACATATTTTATAGTGAAAAGTACGAGCACATGTTGAAAAGAGAATAGTGTTGATAAGAGCGTAAAATCTTTATATCTTTATTATGCAGTAATTCCTAAAATGACAGCCACTCACATTTGGGCACCTTTGTGTTAAATTCTTTAAAACTACTCAGAAAAAGAACATCTAATAGTTATTAAAAATTCAAAAAACATATCAGTTTATATGGTGACTGAGGGAGGGATTTATCTTATTTCATTATGATAATTCATATATGTTTCATGTATATTAACTGATACACATTTGAAACAAACCTTAGATTAATGTAACCTGTCCAGCTACTGAATGACTCTATAATATTGTTTTAGTCATCTGCGTCACGTGCATCATTCTTGTCAGCAGATCCTCAGTCCTGATGATCCGCATCAGGTACTCTGCGTGTATGGTGTTAAGAGGGACATAGACGAGTGAGAATAGAAGCCTAGGTACCATGAAAAAACAAAGAGTGAGTAATATATCTCATCCTCCTTGACACTGAGCAAAATTGGCAATATCAGCCACACTATCAGTGGCAAAATGATAATATATAGTAGGCCTGTAGAAAGCAGATCTGTTTGTTTTTGAATTTCGCGCAAAGCTACACTAGGGCTATCTGCACTAGCCGTCCCTAATTTAGCAGTGTAAGACTAGAGGGAAGGCAGCTAGTCATCACCGCCAACTCTTGGGCTACTCTTTTACCAACGAATAGTGGGATTGACCGTCACATTATAACGCCCCCACGGCTGAAAGGGCGAGCATGTTTGGTGTGACAGAGATTCGAACCCGCGACCCTCAGATTGCGAGTCGAGTGCCTTAACCACCTGGCCATGCCGGGCCAGAAAGCAGATCTTTGATGCCACATGCGGTGACTGAAATTTGACCTGTATCACATTACTGTCGTACTTGAGATGGAATGGTCGTACTTACCAATCCCTGAGAGGTGCTTCTGAGTATGCTGTCAAATGTTAAATCATGAAAATGGTCTTCGGAAATTATTTACTTAGAACAAAATATAGAAAAAATAAATATTCAGCGAACATATTGAAACGCTTTTGTAGATCTGTTCCAAATTTTTTTTATGTTAAACATTCTAGTTTTATTTTATTTTATCATTATAAAGATATCAATTCAAAACTAGGAACATTTTTATTAGCCATGTATTTGTTAGAAGGTGATGCTAGTAATGGAAATTAGTGACGTTAACAGTGTTTGTTTCTAGATAATGTTTTTTAAATAATAAAACTTTACCCACGATTAAAATGTTGAGAATTCAAACCTCAAATAATTAATTTCTCTAATAACCAACTTTGAAATCTGCAAAAATGAGTAAGGAAAAGAATCTACTGTTACTTCCTTAAGCATACGAAAACGAAATCAGACGAATGTATTTTCTTATATATCATCAAACCCGAAAACACAAAAACATACATAAGCAAAAGCTGAACTTTAACCATATGTAAGCAGAACTAACATGAAATAAGAAACATCTATAAAAATGGAAAGACAGCTGAGCAATTTGGTCTATACATAAAGATTAGAGTAAAAAACGCCTCCTACATCGGAATGACTACCACAACCCTGTCAAGACGCCTAACAATGCAC